AATAATAATAGAGAATCGGTCAGAATAATATATAAGGGCAGAAGATTAACATTCTTTCTTTTTTCCTGATAAAAAAGAAGACCGTTAATATAGTAGTACTCTTTGAAAGAGAAAAAAAAAAAAAAAAAAAAACATTGGAAATATATGACTCTATGTATGTTTGACTAGTATGATTTTCGAATCTACCTATATAATTGCAGCATTAGAGAAGATCACAGAGACCTCAGAAATCGTTCCTAAACGGCCAACAGAAAATTAATTTATGTGTTTGGGCCTCTGGGACAAGCCACATGCATGCATGCCTTTCTTGCGGGTAACATTTTTGATCTTCAGCCCCACCTTATTGTAAGCATTAACTCATATATCCCATGGCCATGATACACCAATATTACTATATGTGTGTGTGTGTGTGTGTGTGTGACTATACATTTTATCATCAAATGCGCATTCACGTATATAGAACACCATACAGTTGAATGATTATATGCGCCAATAATGTCTATATATGTACGTGTACATGTCTCATATACATATGTATATATATATATATATATGCATGCAATTTATGTATACACATATCTCTATCAATTGATGTCATGATCATCCATCACATGGGCGTGGGTTTTCAATGTCCTCGTAAACCCTGGAAGTTTCTTAGGTACCAAGCGGGACCGCTAGCTCAAAACGTAGCTATAACAGCTCGATCATGAATGGGGTGCACCTATATAGACATTTTTGTTTTTATTGCCGTCCCTAGCTATATATATAAATACAATTTAATTTAACGGGCTTTTATCTTCCATATGAGCATATGCAAGCATTCAATATATATATATATATAGTTGTAAATTGGATAACGTGGCGATCACTTTTAAAGTTAAAACATTTTTACCTTTTTTTTTGTCGGCAAAAAAAGAGAATGAACAATTGACGATAGAGAACTTTAGCACATCTCAATAACATTGTTACCCACCAACACTCTCATCTCACTCTAAATCGCTGCTCAAATTACCTGATTAAATATATATTAATGTTGTAAAAGTGTGGTGTGTTATCGTGTCAAGCATGTTTATATTACTTAACTAATTGGAATTATGTTTAAAATAATCCTAACCAGATATATAGCCCTATAAGTATCTCTAAGCTTGGCTTCCTTTTTTTTTTTTTCCTTACCTCATAAAATGTTTTTACTGAATTACAATAAGCAACTTGATCAAACAACTAAATTATGTAAGTATGAATATTCCTAGATCAGGCAAGCTAGACGATCTTAGAGGGATATTTTTCATAACCTTAATAAAGTACTGGAGATATTATTTGTGATTTATTTTAGTCTTAGTTATATATATATATATATAATTATTAGAATATCACATTGGCCGGAGATATTGGCATATGATTCACTTAATAAGATGAGGATAATCATCTCCTAGCAAGCCGGTTTTGCTAGGTTGAGTTAGGCCCAATATCCTTTGATTTCTGTAAAATGGTATCAGAACAGGCCCAGTTTACAAGTCCCCTAATATTGACTTATTCGCAGCGGTTTGACATGGTTCACGATGTGCGTAAATGGGTGTATTAGAATCTCACATTATTGACATGATCTACTTAATAAGGTGAGAGTAATCCTCTCTTAGCAAATCGGTTTTACTAGGTTGAGTTAGCCCTAATATACTTTGATTTCTGTAAAAATAATAAAGGGGTGATTGATTTAAAAGTGTGCACGTTCATTATTCGGAAAATAAGGGCATCCCATGTGTTTTGCCAATAAAGCATGAACGTTATAACGTTGCCAGGACAAGCAACAAGAATGTCTTCTTCGGATATTTATTCCAGTAGTACGGAAATTAACTTAGTATTTTCTTTGATTTACAAAGTACTGATCGCTATACATAATATCCATGCGTTTACGCATAATTAGAGATTCAACAAACTGCGAATTTAAGTTTGACCTATCCTATAAGTGTTTGATTAATTAAGACCTAAAAAATAAACAAATGAAAAAGAAATAAAGAGCCTAAAGCTATAAACACTCCATCACACTTGGAGGGAAACATTCTCATGAACTTCCAATTTAAGGCGCTTAACCTTAGCGGATTAATATATTAATATATATATATATATATTTATTTGTATTAATTATGAAGTGGTTGAACATATAATCCATTCACATGATTTATACAGCAATTATTATATGCTCAGTGGGTCTTTTTAATTGTATATATAGCTTTACCACAAAATGCAGATTTATATCTTTTTTCAAGCTAGATATACCATCTATCCCAGCAATTCAATAACTGTATTGATATATTCTTTACAATATTAAGTTCATGTTTTATTTTTTTTTTCCAACAAACAAATTAAAACATATAATTTACCTTGGTAGTTTACTCAACATATTTCTTTTCAAAATCTAGTGTTCTTGTCCTCTTGAACCATCATAATGCATCTCATGTGAGACCATTTTTCTACAACAAGCCAAGTATGCGAACACACAAGATATAGAGAATAAGATCCTGCAAATACCCAATAATTGGAGCAGATAATATTTTTGAAAAAATTCAAACATATTTCCCAAAACATATTGGATGGTAACACATGAAATATTTAACAATCATCTGTTTTTCCTCATTATTATTAGCATGCCTTGGACAACTTGGCAAAATCGTGCCCATACTCTTTACTTCTTCTGGCGTTATTTTTCTCAAGAACTCATTCCAATCATTACCACCCAAAAGAAGAAAAAGATATTGTGTCTAAAATATAAACCTCATGATCTTCTACCATATGTTTTCTCCTCCACCAAATCAATTAATCTATTACCAAAATAGCATTATAATATACCTTATATATAATTGGACCATCCACATAACCAAAAAAAAAAAAAAAAAAGAAATTCACGTGATTATATATCCACTCAAATTGGTCGCATTTCAAGTCAATATCCATCTTTGCCAGCTGCAAAACAATATGGAATTAAAACAAATAATTACATTATTAATTACATCCATTTTGCCACCAAATCTACTGAAAATTTAATCCTTCTAAATGTGTATATATGTAATCTGTATATATCACCGAATAAATCCAATGGTCAAAATTAATTAGACATTTTTTCTCCAATGGTGAGAAAAAAAAAAATTTCAAAATTTTTTCTGATCACATCAGCCTTGGTGGGTGCAGCTAAGATCACCCCTGGAACCCCGTTGGACAACACCAAGCACAGCCACACACGCACATGTGGAAACCAAGAGGTCGCACGTGTAAACCCATAATTTCAGTTAGTGGGTCCCGCCCCTCCCCAGTTGAGTATTTAGTGACATCCCCAGTTTTGGTTTGATCAATTATGAGCCCTGTGATGTGGCGACCACTGATGACTAGACCGCTGACGTAAGCCACCAATCCGACACATTTGGCCAAAGCAACTGTCGGGATTCGGGGATTACGAGGACAGATAATATTGTGCATTTGTGCGTGTGTGTAAGCGTCAACATAAAAGTGAAAGAGAATTGCTAATAAAAAAAACAAAAAAAATGAAAATGCGAGTTTCTAGAGCTGAACTATAGCAAGCTGTAGATCAATTTTACTAGTAGTGTTAATTTTTTAACATTAGATAATTAAAAAAATATAGAGAGTAAATAATTTTTAATACATATTTAATGATTGAAATATTAAATTATTGGTAGTTTATTTTTTTTAATCTTACTAAAGAAGCTCTCTTATTATTATTATTATCAAGTTTTTTTAGTAATTCACTCTACTAGTAATCTTAGTTTTTGACTATTAAATCTGGTAAAAATCACATTAGATTAAAAAAGTATGCATAATATACATATTTTAATACAAATTTAATGATTAAAAAGTAAAAGACTATCAATAGTCATTTTTACAAAGACTACCAAAAAAAGTCTCTTATTTTTTTTTATTAATTTGAATTGGAGAATTTAAACACTAAGCGCTTATTTGGTAAATGATAAATATGAATGAAATGTGGTGGTTTGAACTTTTTTCATTTAAAATTGAAAGTTTGAAAAATATGGTTTAACTTTTGGTTCAAATCATTGGAAATAATAGGAAGTAAACTCTGCTTTTTTTTTTTCAAAACATTAAATTAATGGTTTGAATGAGCCCTTAAAAATATCTACTAAACACTGATTTAAGCTTAATTTGATTTAAAACCTGTTTATTAAACATGTCATAAATTTTATTATATAAAATGAGTGTACATAAATTGTCACCTTAAGCATACTAGCACGGTAAAACTTGCTTTTTAGATTGTGAGTGCATCTTAAAATTTGGCCCAAAACCAACCCTTTTATTTCCGTAAAATAATATGTGGTCCAAATATATTTATTTCATCTTATTTTCATATTGTGTCATTGTTTTGTGCCTGCAATTACCGGTTCTTATTTATGGCTTCAGAATTTTCGTTCTCAATTTGAAGAAAACGGTTTTGTTTTCAATGATCTATATGTTTTAATGTTCGTCCACAAAATATTTAAAATGTATACATACAGTGCGACCTTAAAAAAAAAAAAAAAATGTTTGTACCATAATCTTTCCGGAAAATTTTTTATTTTCATTTTTATTTTTGATTCTTTTGGCTAGTGTAAAATCTGTAACAGAAAGTATTAGTGGCTGTTCTAGCAAAAAGTATTAGTGGCTGGCGTGAGGCGTGCGAGAGAGCTGTAAGACACGTGCGTGGTTCGGTCCAAGATGGACAGTTAATGGGCCCCACACTGGGCTAGGCCCACACCAGAAAAACGACAAGCAAATTTTTTGTTGTTGTTCCTCAAGAGAGGAAGGAAAAAAAAAAAAAAAAAAAAAAAATTCAAACTTCAAACTCCAAACTCTTATCTTTGGATTCACTTTTGTATCACATTTACACGTCCTAAAGCCGAAGCAGAAAACTTTTTAATAAAAACGGCTCGGCTCACATGGCCCGTCCTATAAACACACACATACACACATATTCACATTCATAATTCCAACCCCTTTGGCCTTCATAATTTATAGCCCCTCTCACTCCTCATTTCCTTTGTTACAACCTCAACAAATATTGCAAAAACACCCTTCTCTTTGTTTTGCTCTCTCATCTTCATAATTTTTCTTTTTCCGCATTGGGATGGTGAGAGGATCGTACGCACTAGCTAAGAGCTGAAGCTAGAGTTTTTGTGAGGCTTTTTGTGATTTTTGGTCAGTGGCATTGTATAATTTTCCTTTTTTTTTTTTTTTTTCAAAGAGGAATATGAATTGTTCTAATAGAGATCAGTACTACTACTGCCACAAGGGGTCCGCCGTGGCGAGGTGGAGGAGGAGGAGGAGGCGGTCGGCGGCGCGGCGGGGGTCGGTGAAGTCGAAGGTGAAGAGGCTGCAAATGTTGATTCCTGGAGGGAGAGGATTGAAGCCGGACCACCTCTTTCTCCGGACGGCGGATTACATCTTGCATTTGAGGTTGCAAGTTAATTTTTTGCAAGCTCTTTCCAAGATTTATCATAAACCATGATCGTCTGATCTCTCTCTCTCTCTCTCTCTCTCTCTCTCTCTCTATATATATATATATATATCTATCTATCTCTCTTCTCTTTGCACTTTGTAGTGATATTTTTTTCTCATATATATATATATATATGTCATTATTATTATGTTGTTATATATGCATCAAGCTGTATGAAAGAGGTTTTATGTTATATGCATTATCAGTTGAAATTAATTAATCAATATTATATGTTCCTTCTAGTTTGGAACCCTTAATTTTATGTTGGTTAAGGCCCAAAAATGTCATTATTCTCATATCTATTTATTTGAGAATGTACACTTTTATGGATATCTAAAAGTTTCTGGGATCTTCAGTTTCCAAGAGGAAAAAGTTTATTATTATATATTTACTTTGCAAATCCCTTCTTTTGACGTACGTACACAAGAAACATCCTTGAAGCTATTTTCTTCTAACGTTTTCATACTTTAAAAGTTTAGATTCTTGGTCCTTTGAAATAGGCTTTGGGTTTGGTTTTCTTCTTCTTCTTCTTCTTCTTCAGAAGTTACTGGTTAAATCTCAAGCGACAACATGAACACAGAGTTATTTCCATGGTTTTTTTTTTTTTTTAAAGTCTTCTAGTACTGTTTAGACATGATAACCAGTTAGCTAGCTAGCTAGCTAATAAACTTTTATGAGAAAAAAATAATTTTTTTCTAATTCCTTTTACAAATATCTGTATAACATGCTTCTCTGTGTGTGTGTGTCTATAGTAATTTATGCTTAGATATACCTAAATTAAAATGCACTTGCGAAAGCTTATAATTAGTTAATTGCATTATAGATCTGCTTAATTTGAAACATGCTAGCCAGCTGCATACTTTCTCTTTTCTTTTGAATGTCTCTTTTTCAAGCTCCGTATTTTTCTTCAATTAATTATTTTAATCTGTTTAGCTGAGCTAACTTGCAGCTAGATCACAAGTAGTATTTTTGGTAATTTAAACTGAAAAATGTTGAAGCAAAATAAATCCAAACCTCATTACTTAGGAAATTTGCATTAAAAGATAAAATAGGCTAATTAGCCGATCAAGTTTCATTTGCTTCATCAGATCTTTTTTCCTTTTAATTCCGTTCCAGCTTCCAATCATGGATTAATCTGTTCGAGTGTGTATTAATTTTTTGCCCTATTTTTCAACAATTTTTCACAAACTTCAACATGCTAGCAGAAATTTTAGTTGGAAGTTTGTTAAAAATAGTACAAATCTAATTGATATTATATGAGACATATTTGTGATAAAGATTTATACCCTTGCCTCCCTAATCCTTAAACCTTCATGACATAAATAAAATACTGCTCTAATTCTCTCGATATATAATGTCAATACCTTGAGCCTAGCTTGCTATTTATTTATTCATTTGAAAGGAGCCAAGCTGCTATTTATGATAATAACTTATTGAAATTTACTTATACCATTAACATGACCATGATGAGCCAATTATACACGCACGATTCATCTTCAAGAACAATGTTATAAGGCACTGGGTACCACTCACTAATAAAATGTGAGTCCTGCAATATGAGATTCACGAGTGAGGTCCGCCTTCTATTAGAGATACTGTTTGACACCCGTGTTACAGCAAGTATTTTTTTCGCGCCGTTCATTTTACTTGTTTGAGTTGAAAAATAAATTTAAGTGAGAGAAAACACTGTAACAGAAAAAATTAAATTTGAATTTGAATTTTTATGAGAGAAACACCGTAGTAAAAAATTTTAAGTCGTAATTCAAATGGTAAAACAAACGAAGCATTCATTAATTTATGGATAGAACTTTTTAGGGTTACCCATTTTGTTCCCAAGTCAACAAACAGTGCCTCAAGAAAACGTAAATGAATCCACTAGCTAGGAACATTTATTTTGCACTTTATGAATGAAAACTTCCATATCAGTTGGGCAGTTGGCAGATCGATCATCGATCAACAATAGCGAAAGTACTATTGGTATTTCCTTGGAAGTTAACTTTTACAGAAGGAGATGAATGTAAAACATGTATATGTTAGGTGAGATACGAGAAAAGCCTATGAACTTGTCCATTGTCAAAACCAGTAACTATTCTAGTATATATATTGTTAAGACCCACGAAAACATTCCCCAATTCATGCGCTCACAAAGCTGGTCAGGATTGTCGGTTGGACTAGCAATTTGTTTAGTATTTACTCCCATAGTAAAATTGGTTTTCAATGGCGTGCATATATATCTATATATATCTCATGTATTAATGTATGTATATGAATCCCTCTAGCTGTACCAGTAGTATATTTCATTACTAATCATATATGTACACGCAATAGATTAATTTCATGAGAGTCATAATGATAGGCTCGTTCATTTTACTGATTGAGTTTTCAATTTTAATTTTATTATAGTAAAAAGCTCTCATAAAAAATCACAATTAATTTTTCTATTACAGTTAAAAATTCTCACATAAAATTACATCTAAATTTGAATTAAAAACTCGAATTGACATAAACACCATATATAGTCATTTATTACTGTACATACTTTTCACAAATTAATCAAAGACAACATGACAAGTGTCGTAAATCAACGGTCGCGTACCGCATTCACCCAACGGTGGGGATTTACTTGCTTTTGTTGCTGCTCGAATGGTTCAGCACTGCTCCGCGGTATATTTGTGAGTGTCCACCATATCCGATTGGCAGGTAACGCCGAACAGCGAGTCAGAAAGTGTAGCCAAGCTTGGCGCCACCAACAAGGCTGAAAACCCAATGGTTGTCTGTTCGGCCGAACAACCCGAACAGTGCTTGGCACGTGTTCGGCACGTGCTTCCAGGCTGACCCCCAAAACATCTGTTTACTAGATAATGTTTAACTAAGGATACTACACGTGCTAATCTTAAAAAATATCGTACGTGCATTAATTCAGAATACCAGAGTAGAGTATTACTACAGTACGTATATATACCTACCAACTATTTATTACTGTCTCTTAATTATTTTGTTTTTCAGGAGGTTATCTTGTGACATTTTCTTATATATATATATATATATATATATATATATATATATATATATATATAGATATATATATATATAAAATAGGCGATTGATCTACCGACATAAAACGTTAGAGATCAATAGAATTTTCCACCTTTAGTCATTAATGATAGTGTTATAAGCTGTATTTAAAGTCGTTTAAATTAATTACAACAGCTCCCAATCATAGCATATAATTAGCTTTATTTTCCAAATGAATATGACAAGTGTGTTGACATTTATACTATTCTCTTATAAAGTTATAATTAACTGCATATCCAAGGAAAATTTTAAAGTCATATCGTTAATTGGACTTCTGAAAAACGCAAACCAAAATTGAAAGAGAGTCAAAATGATTGAACAGGACCAAAGCTGGACAAACGACAAGCAGTCAGACCAAAAAGATGAGACCATCTTTGAGCCACCATTTCATGATCAAGCTAATGTATCTAAAGCTACAACAAATAATTATAATGCCTTAGTCATGATATGACATACGAAATCTGCACTCATCAGACCAAAGAACGTGATTTCCATGGCCTACCATATTCCTCTTCAACATACGCCTTCATTTCAAACCACATATCTTTATTATACACACACATATATGTTAGACAATAATATGAATAACATAAAAAAGAATATTATATAACAACTTATTGTAAGAATAAAATATTGAAATTGTTACAACGTAAATTCAATCTTCTACTAAATTTGGAAAACTGAATAAAACAGATTATGTCAAGGCACGTGAATCACGTTTTTCTTAAAATAGATTCGTCCCCTCCGGTGAGTGCTTGAGGTTACGTTAGACGTCCGTTTCTCAGGATACAACGACAACGACAGTAGCTCAAAGTACTATCGGAACTCTCTTATAAACCCCAGTGTCGTTGCAAATAATCGTTTTGGCGACGACATGTCGTCGCAGATATGTCGTCGCAACAAATTAGTTGCCAAAACTTTTTTTACGACGCCACAGTGTCGTCGCAAATATATTTGCAACGACATATTTTTTTTACGACGACAAGCGTCGCTAATACGCCGTTGTGAAATTCTCGTGATATAATATTTTTTGCGACGACAAATTTTAAAATGTCGTCACAAATAATCTTACTTTTTTGCAACGACAAGTATACAAAAGTCGTCGCAAAAAACTGAAATAATTTTTTTTTTAATTTTTTTAAAAATGGCAATTAATTAATTTTTAATAATTTTAATTAAACATTATTATGTTACATACTGAATATAATTTATTAAGATACATTAAAAGTGAAATATAAATTAATATTAAAAACAATCTAAATAAATTTATAAAATATATTATGAATACTACATGAAGTACATATATAATGTTCAAAAAAATATAAAAGTCTAAATAAAGTGAAAAATAAAATAGAACATATAATGGAACTATTCGTCTAAGTTTGCAGCATCGCCAACAACTGAATCATCATCGGGACTGTCATCATCTGAAGGAGGCAGAGGAGCGTCTAGGTCAACTGGTTCTGGACGAGCAATCATAGGTAATTAGATGTTGGGCTACAATTTAGACACTAACTCTAACATCTTCACCTGATTGTATTGTCATAAATCTTCATTTGTTCCCGGTACGATTTCTTTAAATAACGATCCATACGTGGGTCAGGTTGAGCCGATGATATTGCGTCCAAGAATGAACCAGCAGATGAAGGAGAAACCCCGGAGTAATGCTTTTGGGAGAGCGTCAGACCCACTCCTATCTTATGTCCTCTACGCATGCCAAGAACTTGCTCTAAAACCCTATGCTCGTCAAGGGGGCGTCTGGTCGAGCTTGAAGTAATCTGTGTTCTCTGCATTTGTCTCTCCTCTTCCAGGGTGTTCTACATAATAAGACATTATAATTATTTTTATGTGTTATAAAACCACTATTTTAGTATAAAAAAATTTAAAATGAAAAGTAAAAATACTTACGAAAGTCTGTTCCGCATGGGTATTAACCCAAGAGTCCCCGCGACGATGCATGTCCGCCTAA